GGTGTTGATTGACGCTTAAATTAATACGTGTGTTAAGAGCAGCGTGGTGTTAAGCCATCGATGGCAGGAAATCACGTAAAAAACACAGGACGTCTGTAACCACACTTCGCAATGTTCCCCTGTGAATGAATTTATATTCATAAAAATTATAAAGCTAGAGAGGCAGTTAAGCAGCAGTAAACTCGTAAACTCGCTGTATATTTCTTCATTTACTGGAACAATACTAAGAACAATTAAAAAACCAAAGAAACAATTAAACAATTAAGAAACTAATTTCCGCATCCATAAATGCGGGCTGTCCTTATAAAATCTGATATTTTCCGTCTCATCCGTATCATCATTCTCAATATATTCTCGTATGCAAAATACACAAAGATCTTATAATTTTTTTAATTTATAGTAAAGATCCATTTTCTTGTGCAAAATAACATGCTCCGATTTAAACCATGTCTGGAAATTTTAATAATAGTCAAAAACACCTTATCTTTTCTTTTTTATTTTATTCAGAGAATAAGAAGCAGCAGTTTCATCGCTTGTATTATATATGGATATAATAACGTTTGCACGGAGATACCTAAAAACGCAGAAGACACAAGTACGGAATCATTGCATCTAGAAATACTTTACTAGACGTTTTCGTCAGCGTTATAAGAAATAATACTTAATACACAACTTATTAACTTAATAATGCTATTACTTTCTATGTGTTTAGTTTTATTATATATGTGTTATAAATACAATAAAAAATTTTATAAAATGTTTGTTTTTTTTTTGTTGTGTTGTTTTTTACTGAATCGGTGAATATACTAGCACCGATAAGGTGTATAAGGTGTTGGTATTATTGAGGGTTATGGGTTAGTAATCTTAACAACTATCAGTTTTATTAATTGTCAATTCCTTGACATACTTAATAAAGATAGATGTCTATAGTTTTTGACCGAATCCTTTTATTATACTAACAGCGATAAGGTGTATAAGGTGTTGGTTTTATTAAGGAGTAATCTTAACAACTATCAGTTTTATTAAGCGTCAATTCTTTGGGATGCTTAATAAAGATTTTAGTAAAAAATTAATTAAAGTTACGAAATTTTAAGTCATTTTCACTATTATTATTTATTTATAATATCAAAGCATTTTAGAAATCGCTGCTGTTGCTATAATGTGAGAGTATACCATAGGTATGTATATATACTCCGTAATTTAGTTTGAAGAGTGCAAGGACTTTCCATTTCATGAATTTCAATTGAAAGTCTATGTAAAGTAAAAAGCAACTCAATCCATATACATGCTTTGGTAATAATTTTTATTTATTTAAAGTGCTGAAAATGGTCTTTGTATCCGTTCTATTATTATTTCTACTGTCAGTGTTTCATGGTTGGTAACTACTTTAAAGTAGCTATCAGGCATGAGTTCTTTTTATTAAATTTGGAAAAATTGTTATCTCAATATTAATTTAATAAGCCATGCAGAATTGCAAGGATTTGATTTTCAGTAGTTCAAAATACAAACAAAAGATTTCAACTATTTTGAAATTCATTTCCGTTCCAAAATCTTTTTTATTGTTTTTGCCCTCAAAATAGTTCCATTGTTTTCAATTTTTAATTTAGTTCTCTCTGTTCGCGTTTCCTGATTGTGCATAAAATATTTTTTAATATTTTTTCTTAACTGCAGGCCAAAATAAAAAACAAGAAATGCAGTTTTCTAGAATTTTGAGTACAGTTTTATTCGCTTTATTTGGAAAATTTAGGTCATCTCAACGAAGATATCTTATTGTTTAATATAATAAATTGATTCATAAATGGTTAATTTTTAAATTAAAATTTAAAATTTTTCAACTGTATAATGGATTGAAAATATTTTGTTTATAAATAAAATTATAAAAAAAATTTCCTTTAAGAACTTAAACTTGAAACTCATCCTTATAATGCCATAACAACGTGTCCGGTCATTATTTGTTATGTTTCCTATGCCAAGGCATGGGAATTATTGGTGAGACATGTTAGTTTATGGCAGTTAAACAGCATTAATTGCCTCACGGCCAAATTTTATTCACAACAGCACACAAGGTGGCACAGCTGAGTAATACTAAACACAAGGATGTTCCATTAGCAGCTTTCTATTTATGTATGTTTTAGGCTTTGTGCTAATACATATAGTGCAATGTTGCAAGGTGATCAATGTTTATCACTCAGGACAAATGTTGTTTGAACTCGTGCAACTTCAGAGTCGGTGAGCTTAAATATGCTAACTAAAATACAGAGGATTATAGCAAATTGTTTCTCGTATATTGTCCTACAGTGGACTTCAAACATATAGTCACAATTCGTAGTCGTCGGCGGAAGAGGATATGGTGTGCACTTTAAATACACAAAGACTTCCGCTTTTGCGGCATTTGTGTGGAAAAAGATAAAACGAAATATGCTTCCCAGTAAAAGTATTTCGCAAAATGGGTAATAACGTAAAGTGCTAGAAAGTGAAGTGTGGTTTTATTAGTTTTTGATAAGTTTTACGATTCGAGTTATTATTAAAAAATACTTTCACATTGCTTTCGAACTATCGTAGCATGAATAACGGCAACATGCAATGGTTGGCTAAAATGCAAACTCACGAGCTCATTCATTTCATACTCATTTTATTTGCAGAGAAGAATATTTTTTTTACTGAAGAACGCTAAGAAAGGTTCCTTGCTGAGGATAATTTCTCGTGACTGCCTTAATTTCAATATTTCCAGTGTTTCAATAAAATATTAATTAAGTGAAAATTATAGAAGTAAAAAAAATAGAAGTGAATTTAAATAAAATACATTCTAATATAAAAAAAAATTTCAAATTTAAAAAAAAAAATTTAATTAACTCTCAGCTACCCAAGATTAATGATTAACGGAAGGAAAACGAGGCAGGAACCTTAGAGCTGTCATGCTTTTGTTCAAGTAAAATAATTTTTCCTAGTCATAGTTGATAGATACAATCTTTATATTTTATTTTTATATTAATCTATTTGTTATGAGCTAGGTTTTAATAATTTTCAACTGTCAATTAAAATTTATGTAATAAATTGAAGATATTTAAAGGAAAAATTTTTTTTTTATGTGCCTTTAATACACCTCATTTTTTTTTTGTCTAAACTATATATTCGATAGCTTCACTCAAAACGGCTATATGTTGTAAATAGTGTCTAAAAATATTACTATTAAGATGGGATCTCAGTTTTATCACATTCTGCGATTAACTACGCAGAGACAGCAATTCTATCTTTCAATTTATTTTCTCTAAAGTTGTCATATATTATTGGTTCGAAATGCGACATAACATATATTTAATATATAAAGTATTTTTTTTTCTAAATTTCCTTCGGTGCTTGTTTAATTTGAAACCTCAAAGTTTAAATCTATGACAAGATTTTCTCTTGAACATATGTGTGGTCTATAGCAATAATGGAAAAATCTTCAAAAACAGTGGTTTTAAAGGATGAATAAAAATTTAAGAAATTAATTTTATGTTTTTAGTAAACTTGTTACGAATAAATAAATAATCACTTTTGTTTCAGGTATTCTTCCCCAAGTTTACTACCTTCCCTTTACTACCTTTGCAACGTAAGGAAAAAAAAATAATTTTATGAAATATTTAAAACATCTCCCACCCCCAATCTGACGAGAAATAAGGAAATTCAAAAAAGAATCTCTAATTCAAAATTTTTTTATATATTTATTTATAATAAGTTGACTGAAGACATAAACTTCATATCTCTTCAAATAACATTAACTCTTCAAAATCTCAAAGTTTTAAATCGTTAATATCCCCAAATTAACCTAACATCATTAAAAAATTAAAAAAAAATAGTATTTAGTGTCTTGCTTTGGTCCTAAGGTATACAATTCGATGACATAGGTAGATAGGTAGGTTGAAGTGGCGGCCTTGTTTCCAAAAAGCCCACTTTAGCTCAAATTATGGCCCATTATGGTATCACAGGAATAGCATTAATATGTACATAGATTTAAATCTGTATACAGCCAACGCCGAAAAAGATACAGTTCTATAAACTTGACCAAGTCCCTAACATTATAGGATGACAGCTCACTCAGATCGGTGAGAAAAGGAAATCCGAAGATTTTTAATCTTCTTCTAGCTAAAGAAGGACAGTGACACATAAGATGGAGCACGGTCTAATCCTCACCCTTAGAGCCACAACCTCGACAAAAATCATTATAGGGTACACCCATTCTCATAGCATGCCTTCCTATTTCGCAGTGTTCTGTCAGCATGCGATGACATAAGTTATGACCGATTTTCAAAATTTTACAAACACATAATTTTATTTTTTTTAAAAACTTTTATATTTTATGTGAAAGTATTGTCACTTAAAAAAGATTTAATAAGACAAAGTTCCGAAAAGTTGAAATTCATTATTGGTTTTGATATGTCATTTATCATTTCATTGAAACAATCCAGTATATGATATATGATTGACAGTGAACATATTTTCGAAATATAATTTATGTGAATATTGTGTTTATGTACAACGATGTTGAGATGGAGTTGAGATGTGTATGACATTCTATACACAAAATATTTTCCTATAGTTTGTGCGAACGTTCAACAAATTTAAAGGCTACCACAGTTTACAGGATTCTGTTAAAACTGTATATATAATGTTAAAAATGTATAACAATCAAAAAGTTCCGTCTGAACATGTTTTAATGATTAAGCAAAATGATTGAAAAAGATGCATTGCGAATATAAAATATATACTTAGAACTGTAATTTTAGTTAATTAAATTAACAGAAATTATGCGATACTATACTATTTGCACTGAGCACCCAGTTTATAGAAACTGGGTGCACATTTTCAGATACTATGTATCTGATCTGGCGTGACTGACATGTCCCTGTCACGGTAAATTCCGTTCGCTCTTATTTATGGTGACAAACATTTTAGTTAACTATTTGAAATGTGTTCCATTTTTTTATTTGTATTAAAAGATTTAACCACGTTTCGCTTACCTTTTTCATCATTTGGTGTTATTTGATCATCACTCATTTTGATGAATTTCCGTGTGCTGGGTTTTCGATGCTAATTTTTTCCTCGTGGAGTTGCACCCGCTTCTCGTTGTTTATGTGCTCGAATGTTCAGCCGATATCGCAATTGTTCGTCTTGTCTGCTGCTGTTTTGCCGTTGGCTTTTTCGCATTTGTTGTACCAACACCAGAAGCTTTTCACACCTGCTTACACATCTAATCTCGTCAAAAAGGACCACATCGTCCTTGTGCTTTGTACTTTGTGTTTGTGTCGTTCGTTTTTTTCCTTTAACTTTGGCGCGTTACTTAGATTTTAATTTTTCGTATGTTATTTTCTTTTTGTTTTATTTTATTTGTATTTTGTTTTGCTTTGCTTTGTTTTGGTTCTATTATGTATTATGTATTTATTGTATTTATATTACGTTCGTTGAGCTCTTGTTGGCTTTTCTTGCGAGTGTTGTTTCACTTGTACAATTTGCGCAATTTTGTTGCTTTTGTTGCTTTTGTTGTTTTTGTTCTTCGCGCTTTAACATTTTGATTACATTAACAGACATTTATGCTCTGTTACGTTTTAATCAAATGCAAACTCCATTTGCTTGTTGTCTTTCGAATTAATTTATTTACATTTTTGAAATTAAGTGAATTTTTAATATATCATAATTAATGTTTTATACAGTTTTCTCTCTTTATTTCGTTAATTCGATGAAAATAAAATGAATATTCCAGGAATCTATTTGAAGTGTAGAGTCATTGTCTGTAAAGAGATAAAAAATTATTTAATACACTTAAAATTGTATATATATTTATTTTAAAAATGTATTTAGATTTAAATTACATGAACAGAATATCTATAATTATAATAAATTCGTTTAAATTTAAAACATTTTTAATAAATGTATATAAGATTAGATTTTAAAAAGGTTGGAAACTTGTCACCATGTCACTGTACCCTTTGAAGATTATTGTGACACACCCACTTTAGTTCCATTGACGAATAGCAGTTTAAAACGCCATTATGTCCTTTGAAGACATGTTGCTTAATTCTGTTATAAGTGGATGAACAGTTGATAAGTACCGAAGTCTGAGTCTGGAGAGACTATAACAGTGACACAGAATGTGTTCTGCTGTTCTCTTCTTCGTAACAAAGTCTGCAGTTATCGTCTCCAGTAATACCTAGGTTCGATAGACCCTTTTTTACTCCGCAATGCACAGTGAGAAATCTTGTGACAAGTCGGAAACTATTTCTATTCAGCGGTAGTAGCCCCCTAGTTCTGACTTTTGATCGAATCGACATGGATTCTTTAGCTTGTTTGCAGGCAATTGTATTACCCCAATCAGTCTGAGCTGATCTTTCCACCCACTCATTAATATAATGAATGTTAAATATAAATTTTGTTTTTTAATAATGTTTTTTTTTTGTATATTTTCTATCCAGCTATATGTCACTTGTTATTAATATTAAATTAAACGTTTGTTTAATATTTTTTAATATATTCTATATTTCGACTCTTCTTCAGAGTCATAGTAAGGATCAGGATCTAGTAGAAATTAAAATTAATAAAATTCATATCTAAACGTCATGCTCTTGATTCCATTGTCTATATTGCATTTTTAATAACATTTTTTAAAATGAAAAAAAAAAAAAGTAATAAAAAACCAAAACTATGAGAACTATAGTACTATGTGAATTATTATTATTATTAAATAATAGACTATGTATGCACCCCGACCCAAAAGATCTATTGTGCACCTATGTTAACAGCCCAACTAAAACAGTTCTAAATTATTTATAAATCTCGTAATTGCTGTGGGCTTAATTTTACATATTTAATTTGAGATTTATTATTTGAATATTATCGATATGATAGGTAAATTAAAAGTGTATGAATTCAGAAGAGAATGCTTTTTAATAAAGTTATATAAATCAAAAATAGATAAACGTTAACTCTGGTGAAGCTGTAAACTCAAAAATAGATAAACGTTAACTCTAGTGAAGCTGTAATATCCTTCACATTAATAGACAAATAAACTAATAATATTGGATGATATAAAAAGTAGTCCGCATTTTTCATACATAAACTTTTTTATTGAAAATCATATTTATTCCAGTTTATTTATTTATTCTATTTTAACTAACGTCAACATTTTTTGAATCCAATTTTATTCCAATTTATATTGGCTATTATTTGTGGTTATCGGCGAAAAATTGGTTATTTCAAAACAACAACGGCGTGAGGTCCGGGCTATACAGTGTATGCATAATATCTACCAGATTTAAGTTCTGTTAATTTGTTTCGAATCTTTAAAGATGTTTTTGTGTTGGTCAATTTTGGTGGCATTCTTTTTCTTCAAGCGATAGAGTTGTGAGCAATAGTGAACCGAATTCACCATTGCACGAGTCTAGAGAAGCACGTTATATGCAATTCCCTTCCAGTCCCACCAAACTCTCAACATAACCTTATATGCCATTGTTACAGAATTTGAAATCGTTTGTGGGTGGTCACCGGTCTTTGATCATGATCACTTATATTGTATATTTTCATATTTAATTCTTGTTTATTGTCTGTTACGATTCTCTACAAAATTGTTGGACTTCGTTGTATTTTACAACCTTTCACAAATGATAATTCGATCAATCAAATTTCTATTAGTTCATTTATATGGTACGGAAACATCCGGTTTGATTGTTGTAAAAATTGTTAGACCCTATATAGATATTTTATTTAAAGCTATTTGACTGTTCTTTCTTAACAAATATTTAATTATAAAATAAATATTCATTAGGAAGTAAGACAATAATGTATTAAATAGACTTTAAACAGTTTTTAACAGAAATAAAAATAAAATTTGTTGCACAAGGACTCAATATTTTTCCGCAAATACAAAGTTGTCCTTGTGGCTTTTATTATGCAGTTTAGCATTTCATAGTCAGAGAAATGGACATGTTTTCCTTCATTCGCATGCAACTTATTTCCATTAGCGGATTTTGCCACGGTGGCTTTACCGTCCCGTTTCCCTTTTAAAGAACTTCAGGGTAGCGAGTGTTTTACATTAAAATTTTCATTTTCGTGCTTTAATTTTTTATTTAACCAACGAAACTGCAGTGAATGTAGCCTATTTTAGCAAAAAGCATGGTCGATAGGCACTTTGCAGGTCAGGGTGTGCCTAGTTTAGATTCGGGCTATTGACATGCTAATAAATCTATTTTCGAAGTCAGCCAACATGAAACTCATTAATTTCAAATTAAATTTGTTTCAGAAATTTTAAATATGCAGCTGGTAATCCCTTAGGTAATAATAACATAACAAAAGTTCTTTTATAATAAAAGTAATTAATATAATTTTAACGACACTTAACAAAAAATACGCTTAAGACAAATTTATTTAATAAACAGTAAATTAAAAAAATAATTAATAACAGTAATATATGGTATGCTTTCAAACATTTAAATTTTTATGATTGAAATCATATTAATACACCATACATGTATTATCATGTGTCGTAAAGGATTAAGTACAGATATTTTGTAGTTGGTAAACAATTTTTTAAGGGCATGGTTAATTATATAGCTTGTCAATTTATAACTTATGTCACCAGATATGTCTTCTCTTTGATAAAAAATAAATAAATGTTTTGAATATCTAATTTATTCTATACGAAACTTCACTGGTTACTAAGCAGCAATCGAAGATTTACAGTAGCGTTATATTAAACTAGGAGTCGTCCACTTGTAAGTTTTACATCTGGTCGATATTAGTAGTTACTAAGTATCTTCCTTTTGAAGACCAGACTGTAGTGACTACCCCCCACTACTTGTAACAAAAAATGTGATATATAATGGCGCTTTGTAAGATACGCGAATCTTTCCTAAAAAAAGGATAAACTATGCGGAAAAACGGAATATATCTGGTTATCTATAAACCTAACTAGAACTTAACAACTAATTAACTTGAATGCAACCAACATTGGTAAAATAATCCTTCTTATAACCAGTTGTTGTTTAATATGCAAGCATACCCCGGGATTTTGAACAAACGATAATTGCGACCTTTGCCAAAATGAAGAGCTAAGAAGCTAGAAAGGTCGAATGCTCTACCTTAGCATGAAGCAAAGTTACTATTAATAAAAAAATCTTCTTCTGTTGGCTCGAAACTGATATCTGAAGTCATACAGAATTGTTTAAATTTGCTTATAATTCTCTTAATACAGGATTACATGCATTACATACCAATGGAATAAATAGATCAGTAGGAGGGAAGGCATCTCATGGTATCTCTTACTTTAACATAATCTAGTTTTACTTCAGGACTAAAAAATATACTTAAGTTTTATTAAATAAAGTAAAAAGGGTATCTAATAAATTTTAACGCAAAAAAAAAAATAATAATAAAATAAAATAAAAAAGATTTTAATTAAGTGTGATATTCACAAAAAATGAACTACTGAGGAAGTAAATTTTATAACAAATGAAAAAGGCATACATTTGAGCATCGCGAACATTGATCTGTATGTTAGTATTTTTTGATGATTAAAATTTCAAGAGAGTGATTCATAAAGGACTTAATAAAATTATACACTTCTTATCTGCAAAAGTGCTCTCAGTAGCATATATTTCATTGAAAATCACAAATCATATATAATATATCACTAATTTTGCCTGTGTCTTCGGTAGTTTTCTATACGTTCTGTACACTTCAGATTTTTCTACAAATAATAACATTATTACTTTCATACAGCAATTTCATGTCGTCAAAAAAATTTTGCAGAAACTTTAAGGTTCATCTACACCTGTTAAGAAAAAATTGATAGTCCATAGATATATTAAAATTAACGCGAAAAATACCATCCCTCACTTTCACTTTCAGTAAAGCTACTTTAAGTTGATATTGTTAGTTAATTAGTTTAGTTGGCATTAGCAACGGATAAATGAAAACTTATGTATTTGTCAAGACCTGCTGATCTAAAAGATTGGGCCATCCAGCTATAATTTAGTAGCTACTTCAACGCCTCTAACTATAAATAAATTATAAATTATAAAAATAAATGAAGTAAAGTTCTAAATACATGTTCTTTACACTTGAAACTTCTGAAATTTTAATGATATTAAATCATCTGATGAAAATTAAGACAGGCAATCCTATCTGCTTAAAACAACGTGTATATGATATTTATATAAATTTATATAGGTATTTACATACACTTTCAAATACTTTTTTTTCTAATTTAGCAATACTTATCACTACACTTAAAAATAAAATTTTTATATATTAAGAAAATGCAGCTTTTTTTTTTTTAAACTGAAGTTTACGCTAAAGTTTTCATACA